AGAGAGAGAGAGAGAGAGAGAGAGAGAGAGAGAGAAAGGTACAAAAGGAGAGGAGAGAGATAGAGTCGGAGATACCATGGCCAGCACGATTATACTCCCGGCACGATTACTGTACACAACGATCCTGGAGGCGCAGCACGCGCTCCGCCCCCGCCGGTGAACACACCAAGATCATCGACAAACCCGGCAGCATTTCACGATCACGAATACCGGGAGCGAGTAGAGCGTGCTACTCCTCCACACATCCTCCGGGAAACGTTGAACGATGGCAACGTGCGTGGAGGGAAAAGCGTTCCTCCATCGACAGCGTCGGCGGCGGCGGCGGCGGCGGCGGTGGCGGCGGTGGTGGTTAAATCAAAGACAAACCACTTTAGCCGGTCGGATCGCGGGACGGACTGAGAGAGTGGGGTGAGAGTGGGCCGGATAGAACGGTGGCAAGGGGGAGGAAAGGTAGACTCTGTGTGTACATACCCGAGTATCTGGCGAAAGCTCGCTCGTGGGGCCGCGAAACGTCTGCACGAGGCTCCGTTTCGTGTTCGTGCCCGTCCATTCAGTCCCGATGCCGATGTCTGAGTACGTCTTCGTGATCGTGTACGTTCGCGCGCACGTGAATCACACACACACACACATATATACACACATACACGCACGCAGGCACACACATACGAACACGAACACCAAGAATCGCTCGTGGCAGCCACCACGAACAAGGGGTAGCACGTGTGTGCGCGCAACCCCCGCGGAACGTAGACGTGCACGCCCCTCGGACGATACCGGGATATTCTGGTAAGCCAGCAGGGGTTGGACACGCCCATTCGAGGCGGAACAGCACCCCACCAGAGGGTTCGCCGCTTTCCGCTGCGACTACGTTCGTACGACGGTTCTTCGCTACTAATAATACGCCGATATACCACCTATTCAGCCACCATGGCTCTACGTGGAAGTCCCGAGAGCAGCTTTTACGGGACGCGCGCGGCTTCTGTCTACCAAAGACACTGCTAATCGCGCGACCGACCACGCTGATCGCTTGGATTCCCGACGCGACGATTTCTCTCTTCCGCCCCGCACGCTCATCCGTGAACGTCGTCGTCGTCGTCGTCGTTGTTCTCTCGGATGCGGAGATCAGTTCGGTGAACAAACTCGAGGCGCGATACACCGACCGGGACCGTCGGTGTTTTTCCAAAAGAAAAAAAAAAAAAAAAAAAAGAAGGAGATCGGTGTGTAAAAAAAACGACAGTTCCAGGAATCAGTGACATGACCTCCCTGGGAAAGTAGAATGTGACGTATCGTCGGTTGTCGGTGTGAGTGATGCCTCGAGGAACCAGGATGTTACCCACTGTTTGAAGTTTATCGACGCGAGTGTGCACGGTAAACAGAAACGCCGGATAAGTGTTTTCCAGCAACGAAATGAGTATGGAGGATCGAGAGGGGAGGTAAAGAGGAATAACCGTGAGGGTTATGTGGAGGATGCAGGAAGGCAGGACCGTGTCGCCTCTAGGACCGGTCGTCCTACCGCGGGAGGAAGCGGATATGCGTGCCGGGCTCTCGCTGCCACCTCAAGAAAGGAGGCACGTGTTGCTCCACGTACGCACCAGCGAGCCTTTCGTCCGCTACGACAACGTGCGTCAGCAACACTCGCCGTCGACCTCGCCGATCCTGCGGTCCGTCGACAAGGACCAGTTCCACGAGATGGACGCGTCGTCGGCCAGGGAGAAGAGGATGGACACCGAGGTCGAGGAGGAGGAGGAACAGGACGAGGAGGAAGAGGAAGACGGGGAGCACGAGAGGAACGTATCATCAGCCAGGAAGAACATCGCCGAGGACGAAGAGGACGACGAGGAGCAGGAAGAAGAGGAGGAGGAAATGCATCCTGGCGATAGAAACGGAAGCTACCAGGAGGACGAGGAGGTCGAGGTAGACGTTTGTCGAGACGAAGTGGACGAGAGCAATCCCAGTAGTCCCGTGGACTTGACAGCCCCTTCGTCCAGGGGCGGTGGATCCGATCAGTTCCTCAACCCGTTTGCGAACCGCGGCGTGCATCCTTTCTCGTGCGTGCAAAGTGGACAAACTGCTGGCCACGGGACTCCTGTGTACATATCCGCGCACGCCGCCGCTGCGTCCACCGTGTGTACTTCCGGGAACGCAGCTCGAACAACCGGCACGTCGACCGGCAGCATCACCACCACCGCCAGCACCGTCCAGGCGAACAAACGATGCCTGGCGTTCTCCGTGGAGAACATCCTCGACCCGAACAAGTTCACCGGCGGCCGCGTTGTTCACAATCGCGTTCAGCACCGACGACATCGGCGGGCCGACAGCGTGCACGAAGGTGATTAACCCTGGTTTCTCCTCCAGGCCAGACGATCCAGTCCGCGGATACAAAGCGTTCACAACGCTTTTCGTTCATTTTCATTCAAGTCGAAGAAAATCTGTCGCGCGACGGAATTCCATCCTATCCGTAGATATTTTCAAAGTCATATTGTCAGTAGTACGAAAGATTGAGAAGATTCAGTTCGATGATTTAAGTTTAACTGAGAAGCGACGGTTTAAACAACTGGCATAGTTTTAAATCAAGCTTCCATCAATTTCAGTAGAATACGCCGGACCATTATCGGACGCGATATACCGTCATCCTCCGCTGTAAATTTCGCCTAAAAGATGGTCGCGACCGATTAGTCCGGGCGAATCTGTCGCGTTCGAGCGACTGGTTAAGCCACCGCGGTGGCTTTTTCTTCGCGAGGCAAACATGTTTATTGCTTCCTCCTTACTCGCGCGGATCTTCCTTGCCTCGTAACCGTTCGCCAAAACACGGCCCGGTCGCCGTTCGCTCTTTTTTCCCTCGAGGAACATATGGGCCTCGTCTCCCATCTTGATCTTGAACGTGATTTTTTCGTCTTCGTAAATCGGCGTGCATCTCCCTTCCTCTCGCGGCTGAGCTCGTGCCGCCTCGCTTCTTCCTCGTTCTAACTTTAGACGCTGGAAGGATGGCTTGTTCCCCGTGCGTCTTGCAATTTCGCCCGTTTCCGAGTTATTTGCGTGGACTGTGGGGATTCCGGCAAAAGTGACGATGCAGACGCGTTACTGGGAACACGGGAACCAGACCGATCGTTTCTGTCGTTTCTAATGCCATTCTCTAATGCCTGGCTTGTTTCCTGGCTTGTTCCCTCGCGATCCGCTCGATCGACCCGTTTAACATCTCGATATTCACCGTACTGTATAATTCATCGGGATTTTCTTATCATCCAAAGTCAATCGACACGAGAAATTTTCATTTGCAACGAGAAACGTGTCGTCGAACGAGAGCAGGTGAAATCGTCGGTTTTATTAAATTCTTTGCGTCGGAACGATCTAATCCGGCGGGCATCTGCCGCGGAAAGCTTATCTCCTCTCCGATGATCGAATTGAGAGCGGGCGCGCGCGCGCGGAATCCCAATTTCACAGTTGACTTTCGAATTTAATGGAGTCTGGCGGACAGATAAGAGGAAGAATTCTGGGCGCCGATAACCGGCGGTAGGAGAGGACGAACGGGGGAAGGGAGAAAAGGAGAGGGTGCGGAGGAATGAAACGACGTAGAAACAGAGGAAAGGAACTCACCGTTGGCTGACGAGGGATGTAGGAGGTTATAGACGCAGGGAGGGGGTTCGCGAGGGCGGCCTGTCGGAGCGTGACAAATTGCTCCGCTAATCTGCGTTAACCAGTCCTTGAACCCCATCATTATCGTCCCTTTATCCCGGTACGGGACACTGGCTGCAAACGAAATCAACCGACACTGTCAGACGATGGGATGCGTCTTCGATCTTCGAGAGAGAGAAAAGGAAAAAAAAGAACGATCCGATCCGGAAACGAGCGAAGGAAGATCTTTGGACGAACGGATGGAAGGGAAAAACGAAAGACGGTGTGTGACCTCAGTCGCCGTTGCGATAGACGAGAAGAAGAAAAAAGAGGCAAATATAGAGAGAGAGAGAGAGAGAGAAAGAACATTTCTTGGAGGATCGATCGCAGCGATGAAATCGGGATTACACGATTCTCAGGCCATCCATCTTCTAGGATGGTCAGGGGTACCCATTAAAAGTGCATCAGAGCCAGCCGGCCGATCGGTGAAATCCGTTTCGACTGCTGCTAGCGGCAAACGGTATCCGCCCCCACGGCAAATCCGGCGACGGAATAATATCGTCGGTTGTTATGATAATCGCGCAGCATCGCGGCGTATCGCGTCGCATCGCGCCAAGCCGCCCAGAAAATTGGCTCTTCTGCATCATAATGACTTCTCTCGTCGTCCCCGCGTTTCGTCCCGCCACGCTCTACGTCCCGTCCCCCTTTTGCACACGCCACCGATCGTCGTCGGAGAATATCTTTCTCTCTCTCTCTCTCTCTCTCTCTCTGCCTTTCTCTTCTTTTCTCTCTTTCAGTCGCCCCCTCGAGAGACTGGCTGATTCAAAATCTCCTGGATTTTCCGCTAGATTTTTAGAAAAATTGTAATTACCGCTCGCTACCTCGCCGCTGGATACCGTTAAACGCTCCTCCTTGTGTTTTTCTTATCGAGGCCAGATAACATCGCGGTCGCTCGTTAGGGGAACGATTCCACCACGTTGTACGGTCCGGTCATTGTTCCTAGGCTCCTCCATTGTTCCCGCTCGGCGAAATAATATGATAATTGCTCGTATTTTCCCTCGCCAGCACCTCGCGATAACGATAACGCGCGCGAAATTTGTAGCGACTTTAAAGTAAGAAAGTACGAGCTTCTTCGTGGCGGACGGGAAGGGTCTCGAAGATAGTGTTCGGAGAACCTGTTCTTAGACAATGGAGCGTAATATAGTGGACTTGTTTAACACTGCAGGCCAGATAATTAGACCGGAGCTAACGAGAACAATCGTTCCGCGTCTGGTGTTTAGATCGTCGCTGGTAAAAGCAATTCTGAACCCCCCTTGCCGGATCAATCAACGCCACCGCAATATTTCCTCCCCACAGATTTTAGACACGTGGCCATATGTTTCTAACTTCCGAGCTCGGCTATTACGAAGCTGCGCGTCCGACCCGATTATTCCGATCTCTTGCCATCTATAACCTGGCTGTCGGCTGATAAAACAAACAAGCGCCTTTCGATCGAATCGTTCGCGATCAACGTTCGCGGCTCGTTTGTCTCTTCCCGGTGGCTGAAATTTGGACCGAACCTAATATCGTCCGTGGCACCGGGGAACGTTTGCCGGGCTTCGATCCAAGAGACGCGTCTCGCACGCTTCGTCAACGTCATCATCGACGATCGAAAGGGGGGGGGGCAGGGGGAGGGAGACCGCGCGTATTCCCAGGTCACGGCGTTCGGTTGTCAAACGCTGTCATTGTGCTTAATGAGGAAAACCGAAATAAGTGTTCGTGACTGTGCCGACGTCCCCTGTGCCCCCTTTACGGTGCCCCCTGGGGAGTATACGCAACCCCCCGATCATCGCTCCCCCGCGTTGGACTCGCGATCGTGTTTAATGAAGAAGATCTAAACGAGATAAATGGTTCCGAGCGGTGATGTCGCCATAAAGAGTCGATGAACGAAGCGATAAGAAACAAACGGCTGTCGTGGATGCGTACGAACTTAATTGTCCGAGACGCTTCGTAACAGTGTTACATTGGTGTCGCGTACGATCGATTCGACGATAGACAGATGATCATCGGCTTGACCGAGAGGCACAGGAGGAACGAGCGCCGTTGATTCGTTTCGAGCGAGAGGTTGAAAAATTCAACGTCTCGCTTCCCCCCTCCTTCTCCGGATAATCGGGAAGACTAAGCAACCAACGGACAGCGATCGGTCCGATGCGGGGGCGAAAAACGTAGCAGCAGCTGGTGACCGATGAAAAGAGACGATAGACGATAGACAATATAAATTACGCAATTCAATTAGACGCAATCAATCGGCGTGCACGCATATACAGAAGGAGAAGAGAAAGAGAAAAGGGAGAGGAGATGTGTAGCCTGCGGCTCTGAAACGATGCGGAGCTGAAAGATACGAGGACCAGTGGCGGAAATAGGCAAAGAAAGAGGAAGCGAAGGAAGAAGAGAGAGGTGGTAGAGTCGGTCGGCGGCCTGTACGACGGGGCAAGAACGATCGCGCGTTAACGAGATACAAATCCCATTACGGCGTAAACCTTCTCGATCCGTCGCCCCCTACGGACTTCCAACCCCCAGGCACAGTGCTAGGCTACGGGCTATGGGCCACGAGCCACGCCAATTCGGATAAAGTTCCACTCTCTCTGTCTCTCTCTCTCTCTCTCT